AAGTTTAATAATAAAAAATAAAGATTTTTTATTATTAAACTTTTATAATTTTTTCAATATTCTGTTATTTTAAGTATAAAATAGAATATTGAAATTTCACTTTAACAAACTTATTTCAGTGAACTCCACAATTTTGTTATACTGGTATTTTACTATATAGCCACTCTGCTCAGAAATTTGAATATATTACAACATTGGTATGGATATGGTACATATACCTCTTACTACTACAGTTTTAATTTTAGTTTAGGTTTTGGAATGGTTTAGTGGTCTTTTGAACTACAGCAAATGAATATCCTGTAAAGTTTTATTTAAGCAGAGGCTTAAATCTTCTGTTAAATAAAACTTTACAGGAGATATTTGCATTAAATAAAACTTTTTGCTTATCTACTATGCTGAAGAAAATGCGTATAAATATTTCGGTGTGATAGTATATAAATGGTAAATTTCATGCTTGTACATACTAATCTAGTTGTGAAAATGTTGATCATATGGTAGTTTTGACTGTGATTTGTAATAGTTCCTAGATCTTCTGTACCTAATAATGGAGTTGTAAATAAGTAAATAGATGTCATAAAACATTGTGAATATAAAAATAAAGCTGTTTTCAAAAAACAGTATACAAAAACATTAACATTAAAATTTTATTAATTTGCATGTTGAGATTATTTCATCATATATGTTTATTATTAAAACTTTTAATGAATTAATTAGAGAAAAATATTTTTTTGTTTAGGTACATATTCTGAGTCTGTTGGAAGATAGCAAATTTGAACATTTTAAACCAGTTATGGATACTTATATTACTGGACATTTTGCAGCTGCATTAGTTTATAAGTATGTTTGTTCAAATATTTTAGATGAAAATTTCTTAAACTAGTTCCAAAATTTTCTAATTTTTATACTATTGAAAATTTTTATATCTTACAATTTTAGGGGTCTTTTAAGTTGTGTGATGCATTGTGCTGATCTTGTAAAAGATGCTGACAGACAAGATGCAATTCAGAAATGTTTTCATTCATTAGAATATATTTTTAAATTTATAATTCAATCAAGATTGTTGTTTGCAAGGTAAGTTAACAAATTGTGTGACTTTGTATAATCTAATATTATAATGTTACATTTGCCTTATGTACTGACTCATTGATTCATTCACTGACATGAATTGTGTGAACAGAAGCAAACTTCTTACATAAAATCAGAATGGTAGTGTAGAAATGGCACATTGAGTACATTGCCAGAAAAATCTGAAATCTCAAAAAAGATAAAATACAGTAAAATCATGCTTAACAAGGGGGATACGTTCCTAACGACAAAGTGTTAAACAAAACAGCGTTAAATGAGGTCATTTTAATATAGAGTAAATAGGGAAAGGGGAACACGCAATCAAAAATAAACAGATTTTACTTTAATTTTAAGTTATTTTTATATTAATTTGCATTCTAAGATTTGTTAAATAACACACAAATGTATGCACACAGAAATGTAAAATTCATTTTTGTGATGAAAGTCCTGGCTCTTCTGAAATTTTTGATTTTGTTTTTTTTTTTTTTTTTTTTGCGATGAACTTGTCTAGTGTCATTTGTTGCTTTCTTTTTCTTTCATTAAGCAAATGTCGGTAACAAGAGAACACATTTAAAATGCCTTGTCTTGCTTTTGCACTCCTTTCAAAATCTGGATCATTCGCTACAATTTGATCAATGATTTTGGTTATTGTTACCAAACTTTCAGTAAGGAAATCTGTAGAGAAATTCTTTGGGTTCTTCGTTTTCAGAATCTCTCTTTTCCAGTTCCACACGAATTCCATGTTCTGTCAGTTCTTGAAGGTCGTTGTTGGTAAGGCTCTCAATAGAAATCTGCATTAACTCCTCAGTATCCTGCTTGTCTACATCTCTTAGTCCTGCTGTATTGATTAGGTTTTGGTCAACCTAACAATACAGCGATAGGCTCTTCTCATTGAGAATTCTTGGATACCTTCAACCATAACTTCTTCCACACTTCGTTCATGCAGTTATCAGTTAGTTCTTGCCAAGCGAAGTTGATATTGCCTATGGCATCCATGACATTATATTTTTTTCCAAAATTGCACCAAACAAACATAGATTTAAGGAAAGTACAGTGCTACAACGAATTGCCAACTTTCGCTGATTGGTTTGTGTTTGGGAATAATTGTATTATATACAAATTGTTAAAATGCCACAGTAATTTGAATTGGTGTAAAGTTTGAGATTTTTTAAGGCTTCGAGCAGACTGCGTTATATCGAATCAGCATTAATCGAGGCAGCATTAAGTGGGGTCTTACTGTAGTTTTGACTATATGGTATGTCAAACCTTGTCCTTGTGCCTTGCAAAATATTATGGCATCAAAATAGTTCATTAATTAAATTTTTGGCTCTTCTTATAAGTAATCATTACATGATTTTAGTTAAATATTTGAAAATGACGACAGCCATCAAATTGGATTAACTCCACTTAGTATTACTTTCAATCAATACAGTTTATTTCTGTTTTTTAATGTCTTTTTTTAGTTTTTTAGAAATTTTGTTAATATTATATGCTTAATTGGGGATTTTATATTACTATAATTTAATATTAAATTAATATTTTTTATGATAGAGCTACAGGTGATCAAAATGAAGAAGCATTTAGATGTGATCTATCATCACTTTTTACATCATTTGGGAATATGCTTGCTATTAGTCATGATCCTGCAGTTTTACCTACTCAGGTATTAAATTTCAGTATTTTTGTATTACATTTTTTTTAAGTGTCTTTAAAATTGTATATAGATAATTAATGACTTTGAAATAGTCATAGGTCATTAGAAAGAATTTCGAGTTGTTTGCTATTTTTTGTACATTAATTATCTGTTACAATTGCATTTGTAAAAAATAAAATTTATCAAATTTTTTCAAATAAGTTATTTTAATTAAATTTTACTGTAAAAGTTTGAAATTTTAACCCCCCTCTAATTATTGATTTAAAAATTTTTTGTAGTTATTAATTTTCAGTTGTTAGTATCTATGTCATACTGTCTTTAATTGTAATGTCATATATAATAATAATAAAATATGTTGGGGTAAAAGATATACTGTAATATTTTATTTAAATTGTCAATCTAAATATTTTTAACAGGAATATGATTAATTCTAGTTTCATAAATTAAAATAATTAATTTATCTGTATAATCTTTATATTAAAATATAATTTAGAAACATACAGGAAAATAATATACACAATTTTTGTGTAGGTTTAAATTTATAAAGTTTTTAATTAATTTATTTTTATAAAATATAACTTACCAGAATTTACATCACAAATTATAAAATATTTTGTATTATTATAATTTATAATAATACAAAATTCATAATAAGAAAAATATTATGAAGAAAATTTTGTTTCATTTACAATACAGAATATTGTTTCATTTCAAATTTGTTTCATTTTGTTTCAATCTGGGGTGGCAAACCTTTTTGAGTTAGCATGCCATATTGTAAGCATACATAGCTTTAAAGATGTTTATGCCAAAGTTTTAGACTTCAAATAACAATATTTAAATAAATGAAATTAATATGCTGTAATTAGAATAAATATTAAAAATGCTGATTGAAAAAAAAATGATCAGATGATAAACCAAAAGGATGATTGAAAAAGACAGATGATAAATCGAAATCATTTGATACGTTGTGTGCCAGATGATTTCTCCTCAATTTTGGCATGTGTGCCATAGGTTCATCACCCCTGCCATGGCTATAATAAAGCAATATAATAGTTAATTTTCTAACATTTTTTAAAATCTAACTTACTTGAGGTCTCAGTTTAATTTTATGAAAAAGTGCAAATATATAGTTAAGAGAACTGACAAATTTAATGACTAACAATCTAAATTTATGTTTGTTATGCCTGATGAAGGTACAAATACCAATGTTTAAACAAAACCATAAATTAAAATGTATTTTCTGCTATATTCTTAAGTGCTTAAACAAAATTAAGTACTTAGTTATATCGAAAAATCATTTGAATAAAAATTTATTTAAAATTAATTTTTAATGTTCTTAAAAATTAACTTTAAATTACAACCTAAATTAAAAATTAAGAAGTCAGTTATTTTAATTTATGATCTTTTGAGTATGCTATTATGATATTGAATGCATATTATGATTATTTAGCATTCAAATTTTACAAGTAATTAGAAATAAAACTCAATATATTTATTATGATTATTATTTTATTGAATTGACTGGAAAGTTCATGCCAATTTAAAATTTGACGGTTGTGTTGATATAATCATAAGTCACTTGTCAGAATTAGTTTATATAAAAGTTATTATATAGTGTAAAGTAATTTTTGAATAAATTAATTTAAAAAGGATATTGTAAATAAATAAAAAGAGCTTAAATAAGATGAATTTGAGACATACAGTATTATATAATTTTTGGGAAGAAGCAAATATGACTATTTTTACAAACAATACATTTTAAAATTTATAGAGAAAACTCTTGTTACAAAGAACACGTTAATATTTTGCAAGTTTTTTATCAAGACAGTTTTGATGTAAATAATTAACTTTAAGCAAGATGTCTAGTAGAATTAATGACTATAGATACAAGGTGGCTAACTAGGCATTGAGAAGTTGCTATAATTTTTGTCATAATAATGCAATGATAATAAAATTTGTGTGTACATGTATATTAATCAATGGAATTTTATAATTCCCACATTGATAGTTTGGACAATGATCAAGAGAGATTGCAAATGCAGTGAAAAAAAAGATGATGGCTGACTACTTATCTGATTGGTAATGAATGCAGATTGCTGCATGCTGTGAGATGTAGAAATTAGTGGTTGCAGATGCAGATGCACAGAGAAGTGATGTCAATCCACATTACAATCTGAGGAAAATGTGTTGTTGGTGGATGGCACTAATTACTACATTGAATGTTAAGATATGCATCCACATTTCCATTTAATAAGGTATATGTTAAATAATTTTCATTATTGCATTACAAATACAGAAATTATAACAATTTCTCAATGTCTAGTTACTTTCCACCCAGCCTACAGTAGGATTTGTACAGTAACAGTGGAGAAAAAAGCAACAGTGTTAAATGCTATTGCTTATCTAACACAATGTAGTACAACTTAACGATCACTTGGCTTTCTTTCACCTTTATTCTGGTTGAAAGAAAGCCAAGTGATCGTTAAGTTGCACTACATTGTGTTGGATAAGCAATAGAAATGGAACACGACACAATTTCAAGAAGATAAACAAGATAAATGTTAAATGCATTGAAAGTATAAAAGACAGATATTTGAAAACTTGTATTTTAGACAATAAAGAAAATAAAGACAATAGATAAAATTAAGCTACAATAATAATCAGTGAAACCATTCATGAGTGCAATAAGGATATCCATCTTCAACAGTCCTAAAACAAAATTACACCAAAAAATAATGCTCTGTATTTGATGGAATTTACAAAGGTATTCTTTATTTTGAACTGCTTTGACTCAATGAAACTGATACTGTTGATAGATAGTATTTAAATTCTCAGTTTAAAAACTGTATATAAATACTGTGTGTGTTTTTTTCATATTCCTTCAATCAAAAAGACTTGCAATTGAAAATGGGTTTTTTTTATTTCATTTACTATATAACATGTTTCAGCCACCAGTGATGGCCCTCCTCATATGTATAATATAGACATCACCAATTAAAATAATTAATTTAAAATTTTGTAGAGTTTTAAAGTACAATTTAAAACATTACAAACCAATATCAAAATCATTTTTTAATTTTTTTCCCCTAGCTTCATGATATTTTCTTCTCTTCAGGAATTTAAATAATGTTAATCCATTGTCCATATCATATTTCATGATAAATAATATATTAATTTAAGCAATTTGTAATTGTCAATTGCTAAAAAATATTAAAAATAAGACATTAATTTTTTTATTCAGATAATGCTGCCTTATGATGAAAACCTGGAAAAAATTGAGAGAGTACAACTATAAAATTCTGAGTTTCTAGCTCTTTGTTATCTCTGATTCTCATTACTTCTATTCTTTTCACAACTTTTATTGGAGGGAAATCTTAATGAATTTGAATATTTAATCAAATTCATCAAAAGTGTATTGAAGATTCTTTTAATTCTAAACACTAAATTTTATCATGGGCATCTACCAATTTCCCGACTAATGAGCTAGGAATGAAAGAGAATAAGAATAATATATTTTTGATTTAAGATTTATAATAAAACTAGAACATTTATTTTACTTTATAGTTCAAAAAATTTGCATGAGCTTTCTAGATAAATAAATATAATGACTTCATAAATATATTATCAAATTTTTGATTATTTTCTAGATAGCTTTAGTTAGCAGTTTTAGTCATATCTATGAACAGTTATTAAAAGTGCTACCTGTCCAAGAAGTTGCTAAAGTTATTAAAATGACCATTGATAAATTAACAGCTGAATCTCCCATTGCTTTAATTCAAGCTAAATTACAATGTATGCTTGAAACTGTGAAGAGTTGTGTATTTCGTGATTCAGGTACATTCATAAATTTTTAACTTTATTAAATATATATTTACAAAATTAAATTTTTTACTTTATTTAAATTACATTTTAAAGATTAACAATAGATGCAAGATTTTTAACCTCTTGGGATGCCATGTGTCGTATATGACACACAATTTTCCTTCCAAAGAATGAGAAGCAGCTCTGCTTTTTTGCTCGCTAAACAATTATATTAGTTATACATTTTGTCACTAGAGTTTAGTGAAGCTTATTAGACCACATGCATCCCACTGTGACAGAGACAAAGGAAAATATGTGATTGTCTGAGCATTTGTTTTTGGAAGTGATCATAAGTATGACTGCTTGATGTTTGTATTCAGTTTTCTCTACTTCTATTGATTATAATTTTACAATTTAAACATGTTTTTGTTCAGGAGACTTCTAAGATTATATAAGAGTATTTTTTTAAAAACTATATTAATAACAGTATTTCATGAGATGAGCTAACTTTTCAACATGTCGTATATGACACATTGAGTCTCTGTGTTAAAATAATTACATTACAGTGTATGAACTGTTTTCGTATTTGCAAGTTATTTACTTTTATACATATTTGGTCATTAGGACAGCAATATGTATTCTATTATTTATTTTCATTTTTTATTAAATTAATTTATTAATAAAAATAATGATTTATTTTTATTCATCACAAATTTCTGTGATTTGTTTTTTGTCTACTTATTTATTTGGTCTGCAAGATTTTGTTTATTAAGAACTTATAAATTATTATCATAAATCACATATTTATAATACATGTCAATGATTTAGTTGTAATTTCTCATTGTCAACAGTCGAAATAAGAAAGAAACATGATAGGACACATGATATTGATAGAAATTTGTCTGAAGTGTAAGGCTGGTTCAGTGATAAAGACAATGACAAAACATTTTTTCTTTGAGCAGACTGTCCTGGAGAGAGTAAGTCATTAGTCTGCTCAAAGAACAAATTAAAAAAGTGTCAAAATCGTTATCACATTCAGACAGTACAGGCAATAAGAAAAAAGAAGGGAACAATAAAAATGAAGAAAAAGAAAATCATACAAAAAGTACTCCAATATTGCATCCCAGTGAAAAACGAAATCTGTAGAGAAATTTTTTGGGTTCTTCATTTTCAGAATCACTATTTTCCAGTTCTACATGGATTCCTTGTTCTGCCAGTTCTTGAAGGTAATTGTTGATAAGACTCTCACCAAAAACCTGTGGTAACTCCTCAATATCCTGTTTGTCTATATCTCCTCATCCTGCTATATTGATTAGGTTGAGTTTGATCAACCTAATGATACAATGATAAGCTCTTCTCATTGAGAATTCTTGAATACCTTCTGCCATAACTTCTTCCACACTTCCTCTGTGCATTTATCAGTTAATTCTTGCCAAGCAAAGCCGATATTGCTATGACCTCCATGATGTTATATTTTTTCCAAAATTGCACCAAACAAACATAGATTTAAAGAAAGTACACCTTTTTGCCACCTATTTCTGATTGGTTCATGTTCGTCAATAATCATATTATGTATGAATCAATAAAATGCCACGATAATTTAAATCATCATAAATTTTGAACTTTTTTTTAAGACTCCAAGCAGATGGTGTTATATCATTATATTGAATCAGTGTTAAGCGAGGCAACATTAAGCGGGGTCTTACTTTATTTTAACAGCAACATTCAAAACGTTTTTAAAAATAATAGCAATAGTAATTTTTAACAATACAATTCTAAATTGCAAAATTGTTTTGTATGTAATAATAATTGTCTTTTCATGTTTAGCATGTGTCTAAAGAAATAGCTTAGGTTATGCAAAACCATATCAGATTATAGTTTTTATTGCAACTTGACTTTGCAACAACTGTTTTAGCTAAATAGAACTGATTCAGTAATTTAAATAAAAAATTAAAACATTAATATAATTAGTAATGTATGTCATAAAAGCACATCATATTATAGCATACAAAGACAAAATTATAGCAAGTGAAGCCTGCTGAAAAGTTTAACAAGTCATTTCATTAAAACTGTGAATGTAGACTATCCAAAACAGCATTTTTACTTGTCCTTTTTCATACCAGGAACTATTCCAAAACATACTGAGATTCAAAACTTTTATTTAAGACTATAACCTCAGTAAATTATGTAAAGGGAGGTGTATTCTGGTCTTTGATGGTGCTGGCACATTTTCTGGACAAGAGTTTACAAATCATTGTTTGATTTGTAAACTCATAAGTTGAATATGCTGCTACTACAAAAATGGATGGTCATAAATAGGTTTACCTTTGCTGTTGATAATGTATTTATTATTACTGTAATTTCTGGGATAGAATCCAATCCAGGGCCATTATCCCGTTTGCCACAACATAGTGGTCATATGGATATGCAAAGGAAGGTGTATGGGATGCCTCGCAGCATTAATCCCACAGTATTAGACAAAGCTACTCTATCAGAAGTGTTACCTAGTCAAGAATTTAATTAAGTGTCACAAGAACATGAAAAATGCGATCCTGTTGACATCAGAACTTCAAGAATACAGGATTATTTTGATACGATATGAGAAATAGAAAATCAAGCATCAGAAGAACAACATTACTCTTTAAAATCAATATATGAATTAATACAGGAAAAATTCACTCAATTAAATACAGAATTACAAATAATTAAGTCAGAAGTCAATGTACTGAAAGAAGAGAACAGAGTTTATCAGGTTGAATGTAAGAAAATTATACAAAAATTAGATGAATTTGACTTAATAAGTAAGGAACTAAAGGTATGTTTGATTTGAAATTGATCAACTAATGAGAGAACCAATAAAAACATAGTAATTATTAACTATCCCTTTAAAACTATTGACTGTTTAAAATAAATTGAATATTTCATTATTACAGAATTAGGCATAACTAGTAATTCAATAGAAAGTCTAATTAAGTTAACAAATAATGATTTTAAACCAATTGTGAAAATTATATTAGCTTTGGTATATGCTAGAAACTTAATACTTAAAGAATTCTGGGCTAAGAAACCCAATTTTATCACAGAAGAATTGAATAAAATAATATCCACAGCGGATCTATGCAAAAGATCGAGATTGAGGGAGAAAAAATTGCAGACAATAGTCCAACAGGAAAAGGCTAAAGGAAGTAAAATAAGGGTTAGGGACAATTACTATATTAGCAAAGAGATGATCTACATATATGACTTCAATTTAGAAAAAGTTATTCAATTAAAAGGTTTTTTAGGTTTAAGCTAAGTAATACATTGATTGTACCTTTAAGAAAATCTTCTGTTTCTATGGAATCTTTAAATATGTTTGATAACACTGTAAAGTACTATCTTATTTTATCATATCGCTCTACAACAATTCTTATCAGAAAGAGCCGTTACCTAATGGGTATTTTACGCGGGTTTATGTTTGTTAGTTGCCAGACCTGGACTTTTCGCATGCACCGAAGTAAATTAAGGACAAATTAGTCAAAAATCAAAAAATATTTAATAAAGATCTAGAAATACTATTTACAATATGTACAACAATCAACAAATTTATTCAATCAAATCAAATCCAAAAGTCAACCCGACAAAATCACAATCTTATTCTAACTTAGAACTATTCCCCTTGGAATTTTGACAAAATTCAATCCTTAACTTAGGTACAGAATTTCTTATAACTACAAATCCTAACCGTCACCTCAAGTATACTAGGAACCTTTTTCTCAACTCAAGACTTTCCTATTTTTTGATCCACAAATCGAATACTGCAATCGCGTTGGACTATTTCCTATTGGACACCTCGTTCACTGCTACTAGCACACCAACGCTTATTCCTTGCAGGAGCTCACCTCTGCTGTCTTCACTTGAGCTACGCTATTTATAGTCTGAGGTGACGTCACAGTTTCTAAATGAGACATTCCCCTCATTTACATACTTACACGTAACATTCACTTTTTTCTTGTTTATCTGATAGCTTAATTCCCGACAATACTTTGTTAACCTTTTACAGTCTTTTGTTGAACAATTATCAGGATGTTTTCCTTTAAGGTTTAACAAGTTCCTAAAAGTCTGTGGGGTCTTTCCCCCCTTTCGGTGCAGGCTTACTATCTGCTGCTCGGGCGTGCACGTGAGTGTGAGTGTTAGCTGTGGCGCTTTCTTTTTTCGTCGGTGAGTTGGTTTTATCTTCTCTTTTTTAACTTTCTAAGGTAACGGGTGAGGAAACCTTTGTCTTAACTAAACATAAGCCCCAAACAAAAATATAATAAAAGCAAAATAAAAGTAACTAAAAAGAACGCTCGGACTTGGTTCCTTACAACACAACTGAGAAAATAATAGAGGATAACAATCAAAATGGGAATAAACATAACCAGATAGACACTAATATTGGTTTATCGCCAGATTCAGTAACTACAGTAACTAAGTGCGAAAAGTCCAAAGTACTAATAAGTTTTTGGAATATCCAAGGGCTTCAAGGGAAACTATATACAGATACACTACAAGCTTATATGAAAGTTAATTCAGTTCTTGGGTTTTCGGAAACTTGGTTAACATATTTAAAAACAGAAGATAAAAACACTTCTGGAGCATACATTCATAGTACTAGAAAGTAAAGCACAAAGGACTAGTAGATTTGGTCATCCCTCTAGTGGTCTATTGTTACTAATAAGGGAAAGTCTCGGCAAGTTAAAATTTTGCAAAATAGATGATAAATATATCTTTGTTGAGATAGAACTGTCATTGTTTTAGGTCACTCTGGGATGAACCACGTTTAGGTCTTATACTTATATACTTATCACTAGAAATTATATACTTACAAATTTCTAGAAATTCAAAATATGATACTACAGAGATCAAATATCATCAATTTTTGGATTATTGGGGAGATGTAATGGCCGAATAGATGAGGTAATGGATACTAAATACAAAAGTAATAGTGTAATGATGAATAATATTAGAATATCCAAAAATAAAATAATTAATACAGAAGGAAGATTGTTACTTGATTTTGTACAAGATAATGAATTATATATTTTAAATGGTAGGCTCCCCAATGATTGTCCTGCAGAATATACCTTTTTATCTCGTTCTGGTAAATCCATAATTGACTATATTATCTGTTTTGAATTTGTTTTAAATCAGTCTAGTAATTTTAAAGTTATAGACAATGATATATCTGATCATTTTCCAGTGCATTTGGAATTAAGTGGAATTATACATGGAGATAATGAATTTCAAAATCATAAAAACAGTCAAACTCGTAAAAAGGACACTGGATGACAATTCAATCTGTCAAAATTTAAAACTGAAATCAATAAACTATTTGAGATTTTGGATTCTGAATTTAATAATACTCCTATACAATATTATGATAATTTGCTGAGGATAATGAATTTGTATTTCTATAAAGCTATTTAAATAATAAGAGAGTACAATAAAAACAAGTCTGGTTCAATAATAATTGTTATCACCACAAGATCAAAAACCTACAAAGTTTACATTTCAGAAATACAAACTCGGATCAATCATTGAAAGAATATTTGGAAAATAAGAAAAGTTATCTAAACTTGGTGAAAGCAAAAAAGAAGAAATATTTTTCAGTGAGGAGTGATCAGTTGTTAAAATCAAGAGATACAAAAAATTTTGGAATATTATAAATAAATTTCAAAAAACCACCAATTATGAATACCAAATGCTATGTATCATACAATAATTGGTGTCAGTATTTTAATGAATTTTCAGTCAATTATAAAAACAATTATAAAGACAACATCCTACAACTTAATATAACATTGAACCAATCATTGGTAGAAGTATTCAATTCCTAACTATATAATCAAAAATCTCCCGACAGATGCCATCAAGTTTTTGATTAGTCAGTATAATAAATTTTATAATTCTGGTATTATTCCTAAAGATTGGAATACAGTTATTTTTCAAATGATATTCAAAAAGGGCAAAAGAAATCATTCAGCTAATTATCGTCCAATTGCCCTCTTGTTGGGCTTTCGAAAGTTCTTTACATCAGTGCTACTGTCAATGTTCATCGACTGGATTGATTGAAATAACTACTTAAACAATATGCAGTTTGCATTTACAAAGAATAGAGGTACCCAAATTGCTTTATTTACACTAATTGCTCTAGTCCAACTTCAGTTGTATAAAAAGAGAGACAAAGTTTTTGCATTATTTTTGGATATAGAAAAAGCATACAATTCTGAGGTTATTACAACATTACAAAGTAAATTGATTAAATATCGAGCAGATGATAACATAGTGAGAATAATTGGGGAATTATTTGGGCATTATGATGTGATAGTTAATTATTAAACACTTTAACAGGGATTGGCCATCCCTACAAGTGGATAGAGGTTTATTACAAGGTGACCCTTAGTCCCCTTATCTTTTTAACTTTTTTGTTCAATATAAATGAATGTTTCGATTGGGAAGACAATGAATTTTCTATTGATGACCAAATAGTTCACTCCATATCATATGTTGATGATGTCGTAATAGTTGCCCCTAGGGCTGCAGCTCTTTGTAGAAAAATTAAAAAAGCTCATGAATATTTCAATAAATTAAAATTAAAAATTAATTCAAGTAAATCTTCAATAATAATTTTCTGGAATGGATCTAGAGTTGCTAAGAAAAGTACATCCTATTATCTGAACAACTTACAACTTATGATAATACAAGAAGTTAAGTTTTGGGTATGGTCCTGATCCTACACTAACTTTCAAAAAACAATATAAAAAAGCTATTTCCAAATCTAACCTATTGATCAATAATATGGTGAAGTTGTTTTCTCAAATTAAACTTAAGAATATATTTATTCGCTTTAGACTGTTTAACTGGATAATCATAAATGCCATAAGCTATGCCTCTCCAATTTGGAGCCTCACAGGTTATAAAAAATTTGACATAATTCAAAACAAATTCATCTAAAATTTTTACTCTAGAATATAACATACCTGGATATGCTCTAAGACTAGAACTTAATAGATTCAAACTAACTCCCTTCTTTGTAAAAATGTTCACGTTCATTAATTTCCTTTTCATGATTAGAGATAATGGAAATTTACCTTCTAAACTGTTGTTCTTGTTATGTCAAAAATCTTGTCAGAACCCACAGAAAAGTTCTTGGGTGAACCAAATGACAAATATTGTCGACGACTTTGGTGTTTCTATAACTCCACTGCTGGAAAAATCAGAAACTAGCAACCTGATTAAAACTCAACTAATCCAAAATACATTAGAAATTTCTCTATCTCAAGACATTGGAGAAATGTACAATCGGAAAGAACCAGAGTGGTACAGCATTATTCTCGATTATCCTTTTAATAATAACTATATGTTATCGAATATGCCGTTTGCAATCAAGAAATTTTTTTATCCAACTTAGATTAAATAAAAAGATGATTATGGTAAATAATAAAATTTATGAATTCTCGAAAACATACTGTCCAAGATGCAAAGAAATATTGACTAAACTTCATATGTTCTGTGAGTGCAAGGAAGACCAGAAACTAAGAATTAAAGGTGATCTAAATCAACTAAATACCTTTAAGGAGGAAAACCAACTGTATCGGTTATTTCATTTAGCAAACACTACAATGATATACAATTTGTATAATTTCACAAAAAATTTTTGTAACCAGCCTCTCTAATTTTATATGTAACAATCCTGATACACATAGGTATTGTAATTTTAGGCTACTTAGTGTTATATGATTGTTGTTTATGTTGATACAAGTAAATTTTAATATAATGTAAGTCTAACACCTATTATAACAGGCTATGGCCTATTATGAATAATAAATTTGATTTGATTTGAAATTATGTGAAAGACAAAATGTTCACTGGTGATTGGTTAATATAAAAAGGAACTGTATAATTGATATACATCAGGAAGTAATCTAAAACTCTACCTCAGTGTGTTTTAGATTAATTCCTGGTAAAAAAAGACAAGTAAAGATACTGTTGATAGCTACTTTTGATAACCTACCTACATTCCATGGGTTTAATAAACTTTAGTATCCTGGATTACATACTTTTTTGTTAGTCATTTCATGTTCAAATAATAACTAAACAAATAAATAAAATAACTAATTTGAGTATCAGTAACACAAGACTAATTACAGTAAGATAAATAACTTGGATATCCATTTACATTAATCATGCCCATTATTATCACAACATAGAATCAACTAGTTTTTTACAGTCCAGATTTATTCTCAATTCACATGTATGGTACACTGTTGAATAGCATTTGAGATTTTCTGGAGTGTTAATTTTCATAGTCTTAAGAACAGATCTTTTCATTGATGATCAAAACTTCCAACTTGTTGGATTTGTGATAAAGCATTGTCCTGTTGAAAAGTGAATAAATCATCTGGACACAAATTTTTATTGCTTGATGCCAGAAAATGCTTCAGAATTTTCATATATCAGGATTAATGAAACTTTTAATCTTATTACAATTTTCTTTTTGTATTTTATAGTCACAAATATCACTAAATTTTTGAGCAGTTGTATAATACCTGTTTTAAACTAATTACATGGTACTATGAATACTCTAAATACTTCTATTAACACTTAATTGAACTGTTTATAAAGCATTTAAAATAAAATATAAGTGAGAAGTTCAGAAGTTTTTATTGATATAAATTTTCATTACTTTCATAAATTTATATTTAAAAAATTTATTCTTAGAAACAAACATTTGATTATTTTACTGTGTGCCATTTTTCTATTTCCTATTCATATTTTAATGATATTAATTTAAAATAAATTAAAATTCTTTCTAAGTTTTTAAGAGAAGAGAGAACAAATTTTTAAAATTTTCTATATTTGTGAATAAATGGATATAAATTGGTGATATTTGAATGCATATTTGATTTTTTTTGTTACATTTTAACTTGTTAATTAATTTATTTTTAAATCAGCTANGACTCAATGAAACTGATACTGTTGATAGATAGTATTTAAATTCTCAGTTTAAAAACTGTATATAAATACTGTGTGTGTTTTTTTCATATTCCTTCAATCAAAAAGACTTGCAATTGAAAATGGGTTTTTTTTATTTCATTTACTATATAACATGTTTCAGCCACCAGTGATGGCCCTCCTCATATGTATAATATAGACATCACCAATTAAAATAATTAATTTAAAATTTTGTAGAGTTTTAAAGTACAATTTAAAACATCTAATGCTTTTTAAAATTATTATTATTATAGATTCAAGATTATACCTTATGGATGTTTTTATTTGCCATCTACAAGTACATCTTTTACATCAACAAGAATTAAGACTTTGTGCAGATATTCTTGGAGAAATGTTAATATTCATGCATCATGAATTGGAACAACTTGAACAGTCACAAGCAGATCAAGATCTCAAAGAAACCAATTATGGACATGGTAGCAACTTTATTATGTCATTGGCTGGATTAAGTATTAGTCAAGAAGTAGAAATGCTTGTTCTTGGGCTTTTAGAAGCATTAATATACACATTAAAAGAAATTGACAAAACTTCATTAGTTGCAGTAAGTATTATTAGAAATTTAATAATTCATATTTTTTTATGCTATGTAGGTGTACATTTAAATGTAAAGAATAAAACATACTGTACATATAATTTTTTTTTATGATTATGTAGTATACATAAACTGTAATACAAGATATATCTGTAATTAAATAAATTTTTCAATAAATATATTATTCAAAGAACAGTTTCTTTTGTTACATGAAAATATCAACCTCAACAAACTTTTAAATCTAAAAATAACTGTTATATAAAATCACCTAAAAATTAAAATTTGAAATATAAAAATAGTTAATTGTTAGTGAAACATTTTTGTTCAGAGAAAGTTAATTCTTATAAATTTATATTAATATTTCAATAATAGGGACCTCTTGTGGCTTGTTTGATAGCTTTGTTACGTCTAACGAGGGTGCAACATTATTGTCAGTTATGGGAAAAATTTGGAGACAAAAATTCTATAAGAGATCATCAACAATTGAGAGACTTTTTGTTCAATACATTTTTTGTGTTTCGAGAATTAGTGAAACAAGAAGTGTTTTCGAAAGATTGGATGGTACTTCGAATGGTGATGAATCAGTAAGTTATAATTTTTATATTGTAAACATTAGTTTATACAATAATATAATTTTAATTTGCAATTTTATAATTTAGAATTTTGCAACAACAGAATTTATATAATTTATAGGAATTTTGAAATATTCAAATTATATTTCATTTTTAAATGTTGTTTCATTTAATTAAAAAATATATTTGTTTTCAAACTATACAGTGGACTTCAACTTAATTATATCAGTTTTATTGAAAAAGATTTTTGTTAGCTACTTATATAAGAAATCAATTACCAACATATGTGGCTAATACTGCAGGTTAAGTTTAAAACTATTTCCATAAAGTAAATATTGCTTTAAGGCATGACAGCCATTTTTTTTTTACATTCTAATGCAAGTAAAAGCCTAAAAACATATTTACACTATCATTATTAACCCTCCTACCACAAGGCAGTGTCAGATCCGACACATCTTATTTCTTTTCGTTTGCACAGGAATCAACGCTAGTGTTGAGGGGCTGTGACCATAAATTACCCTATCAGGCAGTAGTTCATAAGACAGCAGCATGGAAAAATAAGTCTTCTACCCTCAATTTTTCTCATAATTTAGGTACTATTAGAGTTCACTCTGCTGCGGTGTCATATACGACACCCCTTTGTGATGTACAATATCATTTTTTCATCATGTTAGCCTAAAGAGCTATTTTTGATTATCTACCGTTGTTTGGCAGATTACTATAGCAGAATATAAATGGTTTACTACGGACAAAGAAATTCGTCAAGATTTGTTATGGTAAATCCTAATGGTCGTAATAAAAATTTTTCAAAATTTCTATATAATGATCTGAAGATGCTTGTTTCTTTCTGTCCAAAGAAAAATAAAACTGTAGTCCTCATATCATCCATGCATTACACTGGCAAAATTGTCCAAATCACCCAAAAACCTGCCGTAGTTGAATTTTATATTGTGACTAAAGGGGGCATGGATGTTTTTGATAAGTTATGTTATTCAAAATCTGTCAAAAGAATGACAAATCGCTGGCTTATGCGATACTTGTATGGCATTTTAGATGCAGCCGCAGTAAATGCCTATGCAATCTACAAGCTAAATATGCCACAAGAACATAAAAGCAACAACTGTCAGGCTGAATTTTTGAAAAAACTTTTTATCATTGAAAAAAAAAGGATGACATGTTTCTGCATTAGTAAAACATTGACAGAAGATATGTGCAACATCATTGGAATAGAAATGCCAGAAAATGCACCATCACTAAATCCATCCACATCAACAAGTCCATGAAAATGTTCCTTTTATGGATGGAAAAAGAATCTAAAAGGGATTTGTCTGTCATGCATATGATTAAATAAATAAAAATAAAAACATTTGTTCTTAAAAAATAAATATTTGTTACTAATTTTAAAAAATGTAATTGTAATTGTAATTTTGTAAATAAAAAAAAGTTTATTCCTAATTAAACACAATTTTGTAAGTTTTGTAAATATACATATTTACTTTAATGTGTATTTATTTAAACCAAACAAACCTGATTTATCAAGGGGAAAAAAGGGTTTTTGGCTAAGTGTTGTATACGCATACAACACTTATACAAAAACACATGAATACGGCCTTGTGACACGTCACAAGGCCGTATGCATGTGTTTTTGGCTAAGTGACACGGCCTTGTGACATGTGTCCTGACAGTCCACCTTGTGGCAGGAGGGTTAAACTGGTGGCTGTGTACTATGCCGGACCAGAGTCAAGGCATAGCAACCAAAACAAATTAAATAAGTGTGTCAGTGTCAGTGTCAGTGTCTGTATTCAGGAATTTCCTAACAATATGACATGTATTCAATATAATGGCCTTCTGTAGTGTGATGGATGTATTTCTATTCAATTGTAACGTTCCCAGGCTTTTGTGTAGTGTGTGTGGTATCACACCTGTACAGGAGAGAATGACAGGTACAATAAGCACCCTATCCATCCTCCACAGACGCCTTATTTCCTAGGCGAGTTCTGTGTACTTGCTAACTTTTTCAGTGCATGTGTTTTGTACATTGTGAGTGTTTGCAATGGCTATGTCTATAATGTATGTGATGTTATTGTGTTTGTCAATGAGTGTGATGTCTGGTCTGTTGTGGTAAATTGTTTTATCTGTGATTATGGCTCTGTCGTAGTACATTTTGTGCGTGTTGTTTTCCAATACTGTCTGTGGAATGTATTTGTAGTATGGTTTGTGCATGTCTAATAATTTGTGTTTCTTTGCAAGCTCTTGGTGTATTATATTTGCTACTTGATTATGTCTGTGTAAATAATCTGTCTGTGCCAAGAGCTTGCACCCAGATGTAATGTGTTGTATAGTTTCTGGCATGATGTGACATTTTCTGCATGTGTCATTTGTGAGTGTTGTATCTTTGAGTATGTGTTTTCTGTAGTTTTTAGTGTTTATGACCTGATCCTGTATGGCAATCATGAATCCTTCCGTCTCCCCAAAGAGGCATCCCCGATCTAACCAGCTGTTTGACGCAGTTTTGTCAACAAAATCCTGGGCCAGGTCATAAGGATGCCTGCCATGGAGTGCCTTTCGAGCCCACGATTGCTTGATGGTGTCTATGCTTTTTATGTGTTGTGTCATGTCTGTATGTTGTGAGTGTAAGTTTAATGGTGTGTTATTTGAGTCTGCTAGAGTTACTGCTTTATGTAACTGTGATGTTTCTTGTTTCTTGTAGAAAAACTCTCGCAGTGACTGTATTTGTTTGTAGTGAAGGTTAACTATGTTGATCAGGCCATGTCCGCCATCTTTACGTGGAAGGGTTAATCTTTGTATGGCAGATTTAGGATGATGTTGTTTATGCTTAGTAAGTGTTGTTCTTGTTTTCCTTTGGAGTTGCTCGAGATCTGTGTGAGTCCAATGTACAGTCGACCAAGAGTATGTGAGTACTGGGATGACATATGTGTTTATTGCTTTAACTGTGTGTTTTGCATTTA